AGTCCGTGTGGGGCACTGCAGAGGTTGGTTTTGTCCCTCCTCCTCCTCCAGCTCAAGGCCATAGGAAGAGTCAGTCCGGACCCTTGGCTAGCAGTGAGCTCAACATACTGATGGCACTCCGTGTTTCCATCACATCCAAACTGGCTGGGGCCATGGAGGGAATCACCCAGCATTTGATGGCCTTGCAGAATGGGCGAGGGTGGGCTGGCTGCGAGAACTGTGCTGCTCCCCTCACCTTTTGGGTGGAGTTCAAGGGGCTGATCTTATACATCCTAGACTGGTTTGGAGCCCGGTGACTGGGAGGTGCCCCACTGATGCAGCTGAGATTACCAGAGATGCCCTAGCTGGAGCTTCTTCCATTCGAGTGAGGGGGAGCTGCTGGCAGGGCGATTCGCATGAGGGCTCCATAACCCTGAGCACCCTTCCCTCTTCCGGAGCCCTGGTCCTTTCACCTTCCAGGCATGCTGCAACGTTCATCTTTCACTGCAGCCGTAAAAGGGATGTTTCCCAGGAGATCTTTGGCTGAAAGATGTGTTTTCTCTTGTGGGTGAGTATAAACTGGCCTTTGTGGCACTGGCAATTTGAATAAAAACACTACATTGATACATATTTTTGTTTCAGTTCTGTGAGTACATTTCGGGAGGCACCAAGCACTGTGCATGGGCCCCTGATACACTGAATAAAGAAGTATAATGTTAAGCACTAAATTCCCTCTTCAATGTTCACTGCCTGAAATGACAACCCTCGGGCACGTTTACTGCACCTGTCCTCTGCTGTCACAGATGATTCCAAATCAGGGGGCAGAATTCCATTAACTAGCTGGAAGGAAGAGAAACGATTATGGGGCAATATGCGATTGGAGGAGGCTGAATTTGTCCAGGAGTCCAAGCCATCAGTGTATCCTTATTTGTTTATCAGCCACTTTGGAGTACTGTGTGTAGCGCAGTCAACATACACGGAGCTTTAAAGTAAAACGTTACTCTGAAATGTAGGCATGATGTCCTGCCACTTCTCTATATTTATTGCTGCTCAGTTGTCTCTGATGATGGTGACTAATAGTTCATCAATGCCGGGCTATCTCCTGTCTCTATTTAAGTGGCTGTTTCTGTCTTGTCGAGTGACAGATGGACATGTGAGAAGTCTGAAGCTGCTCAGGCCTTTTCTGGCAGGATGATTCAGGTCAAGAAAATACTCTGGAAAACACAATGTTGAATCACTCTTTATTCAGGTACATGACACGATCCCATAATCCTGCTGCCTGCTCGACAGCCACCACGCTGATAAAAAGTTAACTTTGGGGGAATGTCTCTTTGGGTAACTCCTGTATTAGTTGAAAAAATAAAGAAATTTAGGATGAAATTACCAATGTTAAAAATGCCTAGGGTGACCAGACAGCAAGTGTGAAAAATCAGGACAGGGGGTGTGGGGTAATAGAAAAAGCCCCAAGTATCGGGACTGTCCCTATAAAATTGGGACATCTGATCACCCTAAAAATGCCACAGGTGCAGATCAAATCCTCATCCTTGCGCCAGCAGACCAGTGCCTAGTGCTACAGTTTTCAACTCTTCCTGAATTCAGCAAGACAGGAATAATACACAGAAGGAGAAAGAAGTGAACTCAGAACTCCTGTACCATGAATTCCGGCTCCTTATTGCTTTGGGGTGTAAGGACCTGCGTCCACTGCCCTTCGAAATGCTGCTGGTATTTGATTCTCCTGGCAGGATTGATAGGGAACGCAGGTTGGACTGGCTTCTCCACTTTTCAGTGTAAACGCCAGTGTCTCCCTGGAGCTTAGTACAATGTGGCCTTCTGGGCTCTATCATAATATACATAACAATAATAATAATAATAATACCAGAAAGTACCAGAATAGCAGTAAATGAGGTGGAAAGGGGTCTTGGTGATCACTGGGGTGAAACACTGGTCTGGAGTGAAGTGCGAAATTGCCTAAGGCCATAGAATCATAGAGTTAGAAGAGATGGCAGGGATCATCTGGTCTAACCCACTGCCAAGATGCAGGATTGATTGTGTCTAAACCACCCAAAACAGGTGGCTCCAGCCTCCTTTTGAAAACCTCCAGTGAAGGAGCTTCCACAATCTCCGGAGGCATCTGTTCCATTGTCCTACTGTTCTTACAGTTCGGAAGTTTTTCCTGAGATTTAATCTATATCTGCTGTGCTGTCATTTGAACCCTTGTCCTGCTCTCTGAGGCAAGAGTGAACAACCTTTCTCCATCTTTTTTATGGCAGCTTTTCAAGTATTTGAAGACTGCTATCGTGTCCCCCCTCAACCTCCTCTTTTCCAGCTAAACATAGCCAGTTCCTGCAGCCTTTGCTCGTATGGTTTGCATTCCATCCCGTCGATCATCTTTGTCGCTTGCCTCTGGCCAATGTCTGCACATCCTTTCTATACATTGGTGACCAAAATTAGACACCGAACTCCAAGTTAGGCCTGACCAGCACCAAATAGAGCAGTACTGTCACCTCCCTGTGACTTGCATGCTATGCCTCTGTTAAGGCAACCTAAAATTGCATTTGCTTTTTTTGCAACAGCATCGCATTGCTGACTCCTATTGAGTGCTCCACCACAACACCCAGATCCTTCTCAGCAATGCTGCTGCCAAGCCGGTTATCCCCCATTCTGTATTTGTGCATTTGATATTTCTTCCCTCAGCGTAGCCCCTTACGTTTGTCTTTGTTGAATTTCATTTTGTTGTCTCTAGCCCAGTTATACTAGGACTACCAACCAGGAAAACAGCTATGCCACCACCTCTAGAGTGAGGGAGCTGTGCTCCAGACCATGTTGTTCTGTATTGTGCCACATAAGAGGCAACACATTGGGGGAGGGGTCATGTGGGATCACGTCTCCTCCCCCCCACCCAGAATTGCTGCTTGGTTTGTATTGAGCAGCCTGCCCCCCCCCCCCCCCAAGTATCGGTAGGCATGGGTCGTCTCTGTGCCACATGGTGATAACTTTACATTTATGGGCTTACTATTATACACTGTTGCAAACTACACTCCTGGGATGAAATCCTATGGCCTGTTGAAGTGAATGGCAAAACTCCCATTGACTTCAGTGGGGCCAGGATTCCACCCATTCTGTTCTCCGAACCTCTGCCTGTCCCTTTCTCCCTATTTCTCCTCTTCTCCCTCTCCATTGTGTGTGTGTCTCTGGGTGCGAAATACACTCTCACAGTCTCTCTCGCTAGTATACCCACAGAACACTTATGTGTGTACATAATGCTTGTCCCATCCCATTCATGAATCTCTTCACGCCCATTGAAATGCAGCCATCTCTGGGGTGGAACGTGATAGCTGTTTAACATTGCACAGGAATGTTACACAGCTCTTTAGGCCAGGAAGTGAAGAATACCAAATCTGTTTGAAATTACAGAGGATATTTTAGGGAGGCTATAATTACTCAAGCTGGAATGTGGCGAGAACCACCAGCACTCACATACCCTATGGGGAGTGGTATGCCAGAGAGTTACTAAAACAGTAACAAGAATGGTTATCCATGTGAACACCACACACCTTGCCAAAACAATCCGCTCTGTATACTGTTTATATGGAAGGAGACCGGCTCAGTTAAAAATGCCAATTGTTCTGATTCCCACGGCGTCGTGAACCACGAGAACAATTTGCTAGAGTTTGATATGTTGACTGGGAGAATTTTCTTAGCCAGAGCATTTTAGTTTCTTATGAACAATCTGCTGGATCAACAATAAGTGGATCCACTCTTTTTGCCATTCTGGAAATGAATGTTTTCAAACCTGGTCGTTTCAAGCAATCTGATGAAACTTTCAGACGTAAATGACAGTTGTGAAGAAGGCTGGTTACGGTACTGTATCTTTGCAGCCTGGAAGCTCCCGGCAGAGGAGAGCTGACTGGTGTGACTATTGTACGCATCAGTGTGGTACTTGGCCAACCTTCCTGTAGTTAAAATAGGAGACTTTCCAGATATTTGCAGCACACCTAACAATACCGGCAATGATACTTAGCACTTTCTATTCCAATTGCTGTGCAAAGTGCAGGGGCCACAGAGATGGGCCTTGTTGAAAAGAATTGCAAGGTTAGCTCCCTGATACTCACAGCTCCCTCTGAGTAGGTGAGAGGGGAAAGTTGAGCTTGAGAGGTTAACAGACTTTCCCACGGCCCCGCAGTCAGTCAGTGTCATAAACAGGATTAGAATTCAGGAGTTCCTGGCGTCCAGCCCCGAGCTCAGACCACTGATCACCCTGTCTGTCTGCCATGCCTGGAAAGAAACAGCTGTTCCTGTGGTGTTCGGGCCTCTGCTAATGTAGCTTCCTGCCACTTCACACTGTAAACTAGTGGGTAATACTTGAGAAATGGGGCTTATTATAAAGACAGTAGCAGGCCAGCCTCAGCTGTGGTTGTGAAAACTAATTGCATTAAGTTATGCAGGATTGTAAATACCAGAAGTAAATCTTCAGTGCATGTAAATTCCACCTATTTGTGCCCTATTCACTGTTAAGGGGCCTTGGGTTCTGGCATGCCTAACTGTGGTTTCCCCCCTCGATCTAGCAGAGCTAATGGGGATCTACGAATGGCATTTTTAACTAATTCTGTTTTTTTAGCTGGCCCTTAAATATTTTGCAGTCAGCCTATTTTTTTTTTTTAAATAAAGAACAGCTCAGAATTAGTATAACTGAGACAGCACGGCCCCAAACCGTTTGGGTCTGTATATTAGGTTAACATGTTCTAACAGTTGTAAGCTATTTCTAAAGCCAAGGCCAAATTGTACTTTAGCAGAGAGGTCAAGTTCTTATAGTGCTTCTCTGCCTTTAAAACTAATTTGGATGCTGAAGTAGTGGTGCAGGTATTTATATGTTGTTTATGGTACTTTCACCAGATCCTATTCTTCTCCCTTGGATCACCTAAAATGGTAAGAGTTTTTGACTGGGATTAATCTGTGATCTCTGGGGAGGGGACAACTGCGGGTGGGTCTTTCTGTATTAATAGCCTCCCCTTAAATGTATGTTATCAAACGAGACACATTCTTATCAGCCGAGAAACTCTTGAACTCAGTTGTCTAAGGGGCTGCCTGTGAATTTGTTCCCGTAATAATGGCTTACCACAGACATTCAGGTAAAATGGAAATATCCTAGACTATTTAATAAGTGCCAGTTCTGTGTTTAAAATACCTTTATATTGTGCAACTTGTTTTGGTAGCAGGATATTGTATCATAAAAGTGATTCTTTATTTAGTACATTCTTAGTGGTTTGAACAATTGGCAAGCTGTAATTAATGATAACCATTTAGGATTGCAACAATAGACGTTATTACACTGTGTAGCCAAAGATATTGTTGATTAAGCTCTTTTGAAATGGTTTTAAATAGTAAATGCTTTGCTATACAGTACAGTGGGCAGCCTGGGGTTCGACTGATTTTAGTAAAGCTATCAAATGATCCCCAAATGTGGGGCGGGAGGGAGGGGAATGGCTTGTGGATATTACCTATGGAATGTGCTGGCTTTGGCATTATCATTGGTAGTAGGGGAAATGTACAGCAGCGGAGAATGGAGGGCGGTAGAGAATATAACCACAGATGGGTTGCTACACTTTAGGGGAAGGATTGTGGTTACTTCGCATTTCTTCTCTGTGTTAGTGGTAGCCTCCTTGATCAAACAGAGAGACCCTCTGCATTAGCCAGAAAGAGTAGGGTTCTCGCTCCCATGTACATTGATGGGAGTTAAGCAAGCACGTTTAGTGTGTACCCCTTAGCATACACATATTTCATGGCTTACAGCCTGATGTGAGGAGCTCACTGAAAATGCCCTACCTAAACCGACTGGCCGCTGTTTGGGATTTTGATGGGTGTTAGACATTTTAATAATTTGGTCAATTTCCTCAAGTTAACTGATTTTTTTTAATGGTCCAGTGCATTGTTACACCCACCGTCTAAAGATGACAACTGCTTTTACCATTCTGACTCTCATCGCAAGTGGCTCGGCTCTGGGAATATATTGTAGTCTGTTTGTAGCCCAGCTCCTGCTGACACCAATCTGAACTGCACACATGGAACAAGTGGCGTTCACGGCCCTTTAAGAGTTAATTCGATGAGAATACAAGATCCTTTCAAACGTAGAGGGGAAAGGTATGGAATGTAGCCTAGCTCATGCCCAGAGTCTCAGGTGTCTTTTGTGTAATACGTGTACAATATTCCTACAGAACGAAGTATTGGTACTTCGAATTTTTTATACTAAAGTAAAAATTAATGTAGGTGGCATCACTTTGAGCACCTCTGAGTTAATAGAGCCACTTGTTTCATTTAGATTTTAGCAAGACATTTATATTTTGTTAACTAGCAATTTATTATTAAAACACACACTCAATAGTGAAGACGGTTCCCAGTATGCCACATGTGTTACTATACGGTAGGTTCTTCTTACTGGTCTTGTGGACGAGAGACACTGGTGTGGGACTCAGGAGATCTGGCTTCAATTTTCTGCTCTGCCACAGATTCCCTGCGTGACTGTGATCAAGCGGCTTAGGTCCTGATCCTGTAAGTGCTTGTGCATGTCAGGAGCCCCATTAACTTCAGTGGGGCTTCTCACATGTCGAAAGTTAAGAGTTTGCAGGGTTATGGCCTCAGTCACTCTGCCTCAGATCCCCATCTGTAAACCTGGGTTACTAGCACTTCCCTACCTCAGAGAGGTGTTGTGAGGGACCAATGTTATACCTGTGAGGTGCTCAGATCCTGTGGTGATGGGGCTGCATAGATATTGCAAAATGCGTGAGGAACTTGCAGTAGCCCATGTCTTAATAAAAGCACCTCTCGTTTAGCACACACACAGAGGCTTTGAAATGGAAGAACGCTGCTCTCTCTCACACACACACACACACACACACACACACGCTTTGAAATGGAAGAATGCTGCTTTTGGCTAATCTCCTTGCACAAATGAACCTTAAATGCTTCTTTTCTCCCTCTTTCCGGTTTGCCAGGGGTCCGTACCACCAGCCCGCAATCCCCTTTTACAAGAGGAGCTATTAACTTCATGCCTCATGACTGATGAAGGGAAGGGTCCTTCCTTTCACGTGTAGTCTTTTGGCACCTTTGCGGTTTATAGCAAACCAGATGGCATTGCATGAAGGGATTCAGAGTACAGTAGCTGAGATCCTACACCTGGGACCAGATCCTTAGCTGCCGTACCTCAGCCTAGCCCCATTGCAGTCATTGAAGCTGCACTGATTTACACTAGCATTGAAAGAAAACATCCTCAGCAACCAGAGAATACTGTTTGCAGTGTTGTGATAGCTGTGTTGGTCCCAGGATATTAGAGACACATGGCAGGTCAGGTAATATCCTTTATTGGACCAGCTGCAGTTGGTGGGAGCTTTTGAGTTTCACAGAGCTCTTCTTCAGCCTCCTTTGAGCGCCTCAAGTAATAATAGGAGTTCAAGATATCCAGTGACACCTGTAATCCCCTTTTTGTTACTCTTCCAAGAGCTCAGACTTCACTGGGAGCAGCAGCACCGATTTTCCTAAAGCAGCTCCAGAAACTAACCCCATCTTAAGCTAGGTATTGAGTTCCCAGCAGCTCTGGCAATGCAATGCCCAGACCTCACTCCCTGGTGAGCTGGGCGACTGTTACTGAAGAGCTCTGTGAAGCTTGAAAACTTGTCTCTTCCATCAACAGAAGTTGGCAATAAAAGAACTGAGACTATGTCTGTACTGTATCAACATACCAAGAGAAGGTTAGTAGGTTAAGGTCTCATCTTCCTTCCTAAGTGGCAAACAGGTTAATAAAGTTTAAGCGCAGTTTCCCTATTCATTTTTACAGCCCAACCTTTGAGTTCCTGTCTAAAGCTTTATCGCATGTGTACATGCTCCCTGGCGACATTAACACACATCCTATGCTAAGTGCTCTGCTTATCGGTTATGCTTAAGTTTCATTTGTTAAATGTGGTCTGCAAATCATTGCTATGCCGTGTTGCTTTATATAGCCCAACTGAATTCCAAGTAATCAAGCTGGAGGCCAGGAAAGCCAGGAAAACGAGTGTTCTTATGGTTGGGGGGAGAGAGAGGGCCTTGCAGAAGGGTTTAGAAATTAATGTTCACAGAGAGAAGTTGATTACTTAGCCCTGGATATTGTGTATTGCTCGCAGATAGAGCTTGCTCAAGCGTGTCATTCTAAGCAGTGTTTATTTGTATGACTGCAATCATCCTTGCACCCAATTTCAAACGACGTTGTAAGTAATGCTTTTTGGCGTTGTGTTCTTTGGAGGGAACGTATTAAGAAATACAGAGCTGTTTACCATATTGTAGAATTATTGCTGACGATAAAGCCAAACAGAAAGCTCACCCTGGAAGCTGAGGCATGCTTAGCACAGTGACCAGGGCCGGCTCCAGGCACCAGCTTACCAAGCAGGTGCTTGGGGCGGCCACTTCGGAGAGGGGCAGCACGTCCAGCTGTTCGGCGGCAATTCGGCGGACGGTCCCTCACTCCTGCTCGGAGCGAAGGACCTCCTGCCGAATTGCTGCCGCAGATTGCGATCGTGGCTTTTTTTGTTTTGTTTTGTTTTTGTTTGTTTGGCTGCTTGGGGCGGCCAAAACCCTGGAGCCGGCCCTGACGGTGACAGTGCCCAAGACGTTGTAGAGGGTGAAAAGGATCGGTGTGTATGAAATGAGGGGTGGCGGTGGAAAAGGAGCAGATGCTCTTTTTGCACAATCAGCTAATTGGCACCTTTTTGGTCAGGTAGATTTACAGCTGAATTGTAACTTGTTTTCACATCAATTTGCTGACATGTGATAAGGTCGTTGGTGTGGCCTGCTGCCCTGCAGCGGTAGCCCAGCTCACCAGGGAGTGAGGTCTGGGCATTGCATTGCCAGAGCTACTGGGAACTCAATACCTAGCTTAAAATGGGGTTAGTTTCTGGAGCTGCTTTAGGAAAATCGGTGCTGCTGCTCCCAGTGAAGTCTGAGCTCTTGGAAGAGTAACAAAAAGGGGATTACAGGTGTCACTAGATATCTTGGACTCTTGTTATTACTTGAGGCTCTCAAGGGAGTTTGAGGAGTTGGCAGGTAGTGTAGCAAATCCTCTTCTGGCAGTTCACACCCCCACACGTCTACACATAGCTTATCCCTCCCCTCATGGAGATCAGCCCAGGTGGGAAAGTCATTCAAGTCAGGTTTCAGAGTAGCAGCCGGGTGAATCTGTATCCGCAAGAACAGGAGTCCTTGTGGCACCTTAGAGACTAACAAATTTATTTGAGCATAAGCTTTCGTGGGCTACAGCCCACTTCTTCGGATGCATGCAGTGGAAAATACAGTAGGAAGATATATATCTACACAGAGAACATGAAACAATGGGTGTTACCATACACACTCTAACGAGAGTGCCTGTTTCCCAATCAGTATTTTCTTGCCTCAGTGATTGTATGTAAAGCTGAAGGAAAATATGGATCGCAATATATTCTGATGATGCGTGTGTGATACTTCTGAAGTTAAACAATGCTGCTCAAACTCCCTTCAGCTAGACACCATGGTTAGGAAAAAATTAGCTTGTAGAACAGTTGCATCCCAAGAAGACACCTTCGAGGTTATTTCAAGCTAGAACATATTTGGGGTCGGGAAGGAATTTTCCTCCAGGGCGGATTGGCAGAGGCCCTGGGGGTTTTTCGCCTTCCTCTGCAGCATGGGGCACGGGTCACTTGCTGGAAGATTCTCTGCACCTTGAAGTCTTTAAACCATGATTTGAGGACTTCAATGGCTCAGACACAGGTTTGATACAGGAGTGGGTGGGTGAGATTCTGTGGCCTGCGTTGTGCAGGAGGTCAGACTAGATGATCATAATGGTCCCTTCTGACCTTAAAGTCTCTGATTCTATGAACACATGCACCACACTGTCTTGCTCTTGAAGTATGTGCTGCGCCTGTGACGTTCTTGTATCCTGTGATTAGTGCTTGCTTTGACGTGTGGAGAGCTACTTTGCATTGCTATAGGATATGTGTTGCCCTGGCATTGGTCCATACTGTACACTGGATAGCCGCTGAGCAACTTGTGTAATGCAACTCCGTGAAGCTGCGCGCTGAAATAAAGACAGGTGAAGGAAGACAGAGACCAGGAGAGGGGGGAATCCTGG